CGGGGCCGGTGACCTTGCGAGCCGCCCGGAAGGCAGCCAGCCAGCCAGCCGCCCCTGGCTCTTGGGCTGCGAACCCTCTCCTTCCCTCCCTGGTGTCGCCCACGGGAGCTCCCACCGCGTCTGCCCGGCCCGGCCCGGCGCTCCATCCACCATCCCGGAGCGAGGATGGATGGAGGGCGAGCCCCGCGGCAGGTGCAGGGCAGCGCGGCCGCCCTGCTGCTGCTGCTGCTGCTGCTGCTGCTGCTGCAGTTCGCCCAGCCGCTTTCTTTACTTTCGCTACGTGTGCAGAGCGGAGTCGCTGAGCCGATCTCAAAGTTGCTAGACCCTAAATTTAGTCCCGGAGTCACTGCCGAGGAGGAGTACCCGCCGGCTGTGACTTGGGAATTAGGGCTCCATGAATGACTTAGTGGTTTAGGAGGAGAAGCCTGGACTCCCGGGCTGTCCGGCGTGCACGTTTAGAAGCCCGGCTCAGGATCCTCAATAACTGGTTTGGTTTTTTTAATAAAAAAAAAAGTGTGAGGAACAGAGCCAGTCGGGGATGTCTGCGGGAGGACAAAGAAGGCGGTGACTTGTTTTATTCCAGTCTAAGACCGAGCAGAATTTGACTGGCGGAATTCTTTTTGTTTTAATTGGCTTGTATCTCTCCTAGCGTTAACCGCTTGTGCTAATTGAGTCAATTACCATTTAGCTACGCCCAGCCCAAAAGGTGTTCGGAATCTTGTTCAGATTTTAACGTATTTTATTATTCAGAGGAAACGTTAAGAGATACCGAAAGGCAAAAGTTAAGTGTTAACGATTTAGCTACGCCCAGCCCAGAAGGTGTTCGCAACATTTTTCAGATTTTATGGACTTGATTATTCAGGTAAAACGTTAAGAGATACAGAAACGCTGTATAAATAAAGTAAGTAGTATCTCAAAGAAAGATTTCCAGGTTTAAGCCTGAAGGTTGCCTGGAAAATACTTAAGACCTAAAATTAGAGTTACTCCCAGCGCCTAGTCATCAGTTGTAAATGGTATACACATGGGCAGACTTGAGTTGGCTGGCGCTGGTCTCTGGTCTTCGTTTAGTGGTTTAGGCAACTAATGAAGTTGACAGTGCCAACAAGTCTCATTAAATGGTGGATTAAATCGCGTTTTACCGTGCATGGGTTTGGATTTATGGCAGGCTTGTCACCCTGGGCCTCTCATAGTGTCCCATGCTAGAGCAAACTGTGGCTCCTAACCATTGCCCGGCCTCCGTGCCTGTGGGCTGCTGGCACTGAAGTGGGTCACACAGTGGGGAAAAGAAAAGAATCCTTTATTTACCTGGCCACTCGACGGTGTCAGTTTCAAAAGACCAAGACAGAAGCTTTTATTGTTCAGTGTGGTGATCTTATTGTTACTCATAAAGTTAGCCAAAAATCCTACCATATGGTTATTATCCATAACTAAGCGGAAGGCATTTGAGGACAGTTGGATTCCCAGAAGGTGTTCATTTGGTAGGCAATACAGGCTCTAGGATACTGATTTCTGATAACAGTAACTTTAGCCGGATACTATGTTGATGAGGTTAATCTTTTTTTTTTTTTTATGCCACTATGGCATGAAAGTTTCCTTGTGGGAATTATTGGATTATTTACTAAAAATCATTAAGCATAACGTAGCCCAGTGGGTAAAGAAAAGATGTTTACAGGCTGTGTGTGGTTACTGTACTGCCACATGAAGTTTCTGGAGAGCTGGGATGGCTTGGAAATAAAGCAGATCGGAACACGTAATATTAATAAATGCCAGCCATGGGATTGTGTGCAGATAATCTTCTGAAACCCACATGCTGTTTTCGAGGAAAGGGGGTTGAGCTGTTCCTCATGTATGGAGCAAAGCTATGTGTCCAGTGTGGAATCTAGTGTATTTGGGTACTGCAGAGGTTTGGGGATTTGTGGGGCTCACCGAGGCGCTGGGATTCCCGCCCACGCACCCCACTGATCTTCCTGTCCTGGGCACTTTATTCCGCCAGCTAACTCTGGTATGCTGCTGCAGTGTCTAACCTTTAATGGTAAGATTCCAAGGGAAGGAGCAACATCGTGTGTTTCTTCCTATCCATCAGAACGCTTCCACCGCTCCAAGGAGACAGCGTGCAGAGTTCCTGGATAGCTTGCCTTGTGAGGAGCTGGCGATAGTCTAATTCCACCTCTAGGTTTTTTGTGTAAGTATTCAGTTGGTACTGTGGGTTTTGGTGAGAGTCACTGCTAAGGCTTTGAGTGGGGTCACCCTCACAGCTTATTCTATTTCAGGGCACATCGAGAATCATGAACAGCTTTAATAAGGAAGAGTTTGAGTGCCATATCCTCGATGAAGGCTTTACTGCCAAGGACATCCTGGACCAAAAAATTAATGAAGTTTCTTCCTCAGTGAGTATGGGAAGCCCACGTCCACAGCTAGGCTGAGTTCCTAGTGTGGTGGGAGTGAGCATGTCTTCATGTCTTGCCGAGAATCTAGAATTTCGTTGGTTGTGGATTGTCCAGTGGTGACAGCCATGCTGTGTCAGTGACTGCCAACAGGAATAGGATTTGGTGAAGGGGGAAAGGAAAGGGGATTTCAGTGTGGCACACTGCAGCACTGTTAACGAGGGCCCTGTACCCCCTCTCAATCCAGGACGATAAGGATGCTTTTTATGTCGCGGACCTTGGGGACATTCTGAAGAAACACCTAAGATGGCGAAAAGCCCTTCCCAGAGTCACTCCCTTTTATGCTGTCAAAAGTAACGACAGCAGAGCCATAGTGAACACCCTCGCCGCCATTGGGACGGGTTTTGACTGTGCAAGCAAGGTGAGCCTGCTCGAACCCAGGCCAGCATGGGTTGTGTGCCTTGGGCAGCAAGTGTTAATGCGCTGGGGTGCACATGACACTTGGCTGTGCTTTTGTTTCTGAGAGAGACGCATTCGGTCTGGAGATAATCCAGCACCCGCCTTCTCTCTTTCAGACTGAAATACAGTTGGTGCAGGGGCTTGGGGTGCCTCCCGAGAGGATCATCTATGCGAATCCTTGTAAACAAGTGTCTCAAATCAAGTATGCTGCCAGTAATGGGGTCCAGATGATGACTTTTGACAGTGAGATTGAGTTGATGAAAGTGGCCAGAGCACATCCAAAGGCAAAGTGAGTCCTGAGAGCGAAGACTGGGCTTCGTTCAACTGTCCCCACTCCTGCGTTCATTCCTCCACATAGTAGAACTAGGCTAACCCCTGGGTTAGCCTCAAACCCACACTTGGGATAGGGCTCTCTAGTGTGGATGGAATACTTACTTGATGTACTTCTGTCCATCTAGGTTGGTTTTGCGGATTGCCACTGATGATTCCAAAGCAGTTTGTCGCCTCAGTGTCAAGTTTGGTGCCACACTCAAAACCAGCAGGCTTCTCTTGGAACGGGCAAAAGAGCTAAATATTGATGTCATTGGTGTCAGGTGAGACCTCAGTGACATGGTTACAGACTGAGACATTAAACAATTCCGGTTTTATGGGCAGCTCTCATTTTGAGAACTAGTGGAACAAGCAGCATCCTGTTACCTTTGATTTCAGCTTCCATGTGGGGAGTGGATGTACTGATCCTGAGACCTTCGTGCAGGCCCTGTCTGATGCCCGCTGTGTCTTTGACATGGGAGTGAGTACATGGGACTCATTTTATTAGTTATAGTGAGTGGAGGGGCTGTCTGGAATAGTACTCTCAGTCTAGAATTCACCTTTTGTGAGAGCCTTTGCAGTGTGACAGATTTAAACCCATCTGCTCTGTGCATTTTATGACTTGTTAGGAGTCTGGCAATCTGACTTGTGAATTTTCTTGCTGCTCTAGACAGAAGTTGGTTTCAACATGTATCTGCTTGATATTGGTGGTGGCTTTCCTGGATCTGAGGATACAAAGCTTAAATTTGAAGAGGTAACTTATTTATTTACAACATTAGTAACCTACAGAGGTATAGCAACTTCCATTTTGGTGTAGTATAAAATCCAAAGGGGCCAGACAGACATGAATGGAAATGACCTGGCATTGTGTTTCCAATGACTTATTTTTATATTTTTGAGATGGTCTCATTTTGTAGTCAGGTTGGCCTGAACTTAGAATCCTCCTGCCTCAGCTATGCCATCATCCCTGGCTCCATTATACTTTTAATGTTCAGTCTCTTAGGAAACAAAGCCGTCTGGTGCTTGTGTTGCTGTTTGTACAATTGAGTGAGTCAGGCATAGTGAGAGGGATTTTATCTTGTTTGCTAAACAGAATTACTTCGGCATTGGGCCCCTGTTTGGTAATAATTGATTTTGCACTATTTAATAATAAAACACTATCCATAGTGTCTTGAAAAGCTAGAGACAGGTCCTGAGAGGAGAGTGGGAAATGAAGTGGTATGTAGACTGTTTCCATGGAGATAAGATGTTACCCGACCACAGCCCTGCTGGTGCCAGCTCCCAGCGTATGTCCTGTCCTTTAACACCTAGCAGTGGGATCTCTCTCCTCCGTGTGAACTGAGTAATGATTGGCCGCTCCCTTCTCTCACTCTTAGATCACCAGTGTGATCAACCCGGCTCTGGACAAGTACTTCCCACCAGACTCCGGAGTGAGAGTCATAGCTGAGCCGGGCAGATACTATGTCGCGTCAGCTTTCACACTGGCAGTCAA